CCCAGCTTCTGAAACTCTTGAAGGGCCGGGAGGCGCCGGCGCCAAGAGGTTAAGGAGAACAAGTCTTCAATGGGTTTGCGAAGGAATCTGAATGTTCAATAAAGTTATTTTAAACACTTGCATTTTATTTACCTTTATTGTACTATGTCTGTGAAAGTCTCTACATTTGAGTGTCTGAAGTCAACTTAGGGCCCATTCACACTAACACATGGCCACGCGTGGTAAGTGCATTGGTGCCATGTGGGTGTCATTCATCTAAATGGCACCTCAATACATCCTGCCAACAGATGTGTGCTGAGGTGCTCTGCAAAAAAAAAAAAGGTGCATGCCTTGACGTCGAGCGGCCGCATATTTGCATACCATTTGAAAATACATATGTACTGAGGGAGCCCTGCGCACTCCCAGTACATGTGTCTGTGACTCACGGAAAGGTCCTGATCACCCCTTGCAACTGGGACCTTTTCTGAGCATGTGATCGCCGTAACAGCGAATCACGGCGGTCACATGACCCTAAAACCCCGCCCCTCCTCCCCACTTCTGAAACTCTTAAAGGGTTGGGAGGCGCCGGTGCAAAGGGGTTAAAGAAAAAAAAAAAGGAACCTTTATTATCAGTTTAAGTGGTGGGAAATCTGTCCGAATAAGGGCAGATGAATTTTGAATCTTTTTTTGCGATCTATGCTTTCTTGTCCTAAGGACAACTGCACCCTCACAGGCAGAGGAAGTAGGAGGAAATGTCCCTAATAGGGTCACAGGCAGAGGAAGTAGGAGGAAATGTCCCCAATAGGGTCACAGGCAGAGGAAGTAGGAGGAAATGTCCCCAATAGGGTCACAGGCAGAGGACGTAGGAGGAAATATCCCCAATAGGGTCACAGGCAGAGGACGTAGGAGGAAATGTCCCCAATAGGGTCACAGGCAGAGGAAGTAGGAGGAAATGTCCCCAATAGGGTCACAGGCAGAGGAAGTAGGAGGAAATGTCCCCAATAGGGTCACAGGCAGAGGAGTAGGAGGAAATATCCCCAATAGGGTCACAGGCAGAGGACGTAGGAGGAAATGTCCCCAATAGGGTCACAGGCAGAGGAAGTAGGAGGAAATGTCCCCAATAGGGTCACAGGCAGAGGACGTAGGAGGAAATATCCCCAATAGGGTCACAGGCAGAGGAGTAGGAGGAAATATCCCCAATAGGGTCACAGGCAGAGGAAGTAGGAGGAAATGTCCCCAATAGGGTCACAGGCAGAGGAAGTAGGAGGAAATGTCCCCAATAGGGTCACAGGCAGAGGAAGTAGGAGGAAATTGTCCCCAATAGGGTCACAGGCAGAGGACGTAGGAGGAAATATCCCCAATAGGGTCACAGGCAGAGGACGTAGGAGGAAATGTCCCCAATAGGATCACAGGCAGAGGAAGTAGGAGGAAATGTCCCCAATAGGGTCACAGGCAGAGGACGTAGGAGGAAATATCCCCAATAGGGTCACACAGGCAGAGGACGTAGGAGGAAATATCCCCAATAGGGTCACAGGCAGTGGAAGTAGGAGGAAATATCCCCAATAGGGTCACAGGCAGAGCAAATAGGAGGAAATATCCCCAATAGGGTCACAGGCAGAGGAAGTAGGAGGAAATATCCCCAATAGGGTCACAGGCAGAGGAAGTAGGAGGAAATATCCCCAATAGGGTCACAGGAGAAGGAAATATCCCCAACAGGGTCACAGGCAGAGGAAGTATCCCCAATAGGGTCACAGACAGAGGAAGTAGAAGGAAATATATAGGGTCCCCAATAGGAGGAAATATCCCCCCAATAGCGGTCACAGGCAGAGGAAGTAGGAGGAAATATCCCCAATAGGGTCACAGGCAGAGGAAGTAGGAGGAAAATATCCCCAATAGGGTCACAGGCAGAGGAAGTAGGAGGAAATATCCCCAATAGGGTCACAGGCAGGGGAAATAGGAGGAAAAATATCCCCAATAGGTCACAGGCAGAGGAAGCAGGAGGAAATATCCCCAATAGGGTCACAGGAGGAGGAAGTAGGAGGAAATATCCCCAATAGGGTCACAGACAGAGGAAGTAGGAGGAAATATCCCCAATAGGGGTCACAGGCAGAGGAAGTAGGAGGAAATATCCCCAATAGGGTCACAGGCAGAAGAAGTAGGAGGAAATATCCCCAATAAAGTCACAGGAGAAGGAAATATCCCCAACAGGGTCACAGGCAGAGGACGTAGGAGGAAATATCCCAAATAGGATCACAGGCAGAGGACGTAGGAGGAAATATCCCCAATAGGGTCACAGGCAGAGGACATAGGAGAAATGTCCCCAATAGGGTCACAGGCAGAGGAAGTAGGAGGAAATGTCCCCAATAGGGTCACAGGCAGAGGAGTAGGAAGAAATATCCCCAATAGGGTCACAGGCAGAGGACATAGGAGGAAATGTCCCCAATAGGGTCACAGGCAGAGGAAGTAGGAGGAAATGTCCCCAATAGGGTCACAGGCAGAGGACGTAGGAGGAAATATCCCCAATAGGGTCACAGGCAGAGGACGTAGGAGGAAATATCCCCAATAGGGTCACAGGCAGAGGACATAGGAGGAAATGTCCCCAATAGGGTCACAGGCAGAGGAAGTAGGAGGAAATGTCCCCAATAGGGTCACAGACAGAGGACGTAGGAGGAAATATCCCCAATAGGGTCACAGGCAGAGGACGTAGGAGGAAATATCCCCAATAGGGTCACAGGCAGTGGAAGTAGGAGGAAATATCCCCAATAGGGTCACAGGCAGAGCAAATAGGAGAACATATCCCCAATAGGGTCAGAGGCAGAGGAAGTAGGAGGAAATATCCCCAATAGGGTCACAGGCAGAGGAAGTAGAAGGAAATATCCCCAATAGGGTCACAGGAGAAGGAAATATCCCCAACAGGGTCACAGGCAGAGGAAGTATCCCCAACAGGGTCACAGGCAGAGGGAAGTATCCCCAATAGGGTCACAGACAGAGGAAGTAGAAGGAAATATCCCCAATAGGGTCACAGGCAGAGGAAGTAGGAGGAAATATCCCCAATAGGGTCACAGGCAGAGGAAGTAGGAGGAAATATCCCCAATAGGGTCACAGGCAGAGGAAGTAGGAGGAAATATCCCCAATAGGGTCACAGGCAGGGGAAATAGGAGGAAATATCCTCAATAGGATCACAGGCAGAGGAAGTAGGAGGAAATATCCCCAATAGGGTCACAGGCAGAGGAAGTAGGAGGAAATATCCCCAATAGGGTCACAGACAGAGGAAGTAGGAGGAAATATCCCCAATAGGGTCACAGGCAGAGGAAGTAGGAGGAAATATCCCCAATAGGGTCACAGGCAGAAGAAGTAGGAGGAACTATCCCCAATAGGGTCACAGGAGAAGGAAATATCCCCAACAGGGTCACAGGCAGAGGAAGCATCCCCAATAGGGTCACAGACAGAGGAAGTAGAAGGAAATATCCCCAATAGGGTCACAGGCAGGGGAAATAGGAGGAAATATCCCCAATAGGATCACAGGCAGAGGAAGTAGGAGGAAATATCCCCAATAGGGTCACAGGAGGAGGAAGTAGGAGGAAATATCCCCAATAGAGTCACAGACAGAGGGAAGTAGGAGAAAATATCCCCAATAGGGCCACAGACAGAGGAAGTAGGAGGAAATATCCCCTAATAGGGTCACAGACAGAGGAAGTAGGAGGAAATATCCCCAATAGGGTCACAGACAGAGGAAGTAGGAGGAAATATCCCCAATAGGGTCACAGGCAGAGGAAATAGGAGGAAATATCCAGAATAGGGTCACAGACAGAGGAAGTAGGAGGAAATATCCTCAATAGGGTCACAGGCAGGGGAAATAGGAGGAAATATCCCCAATAGGGTCACAGACAGAGGAAGTAGAAGGAAATATCCCCAATAGGGTCACAGACAGAGGAAGTAGGAGGAAATATCCCCAATAGGGTCACAGGCAGAGGAAGTAGGGGGAAATATCCCCAATAGGGTCAGAGGCAGAGGAAGTAGGAGGAAATATCCCCAATAGGGTCACAGGAGGAGGAAGTAGGAGGAAATATCCCCAATAAGGTCACAGACAGAGGAAGTAGGAGGGAATATCCCCAATAGGGTCACAGACAGAGGAAGTAGGAGGAAATATCCCCAATAGGGTCACAGAGGACAGAGGAAATAGGATGAAATATCCCCAATAGGGTCACAGACAGAGGAAGTAGGAGGAAATATCCCCAATAGGGTCACAGGCAGGGGAAATAGGAGGAAATATCCCCAATAGGGTCACAGACAGAGGGAAGTAGGAGGAAATATCCCCAATAGGGTCACAGACAGAGGAAGTAGGGGGGAAATATCCCCAATAGGGTCACAGACAGAGGAAATAGGATGAAATATCCCCAATAGGGTCACAGGAGGAGGAAGTAGGAGGAAATATCCCCAATAGGGTCACAGACAGAGGAAGTAGGAGGGAATATCCCCAATAGGGTCACAGACAGAGGAAGTAGGAGGGAATATCCCCAATAGGGTCACAGACAGAGGAAGTAGGATGAAATATCCCCAATAGGGTCACAGACAGAGGAAGTAGGATGAAATATCCCCAATAGGGTCACAGGCAGGGGAAATAGGAGGAAATATCCCCAATAGGGTCACAGACAGAGGATAGTAGAAGGAAATATCCCCAATAGGGTCACAGACAGAGGAAGTAGGAGGGAATATCCCCAATAGGGTCACAGACAGAGGAAGTAGGATGAAATATCCCCAATAGGGTCACAGACAGAAATAAAACCCTGACATATGTTTAAACTCTTTCCAATTGTATCCAAAAATGAAAAAAAAAAAAGAAGTAGAGTATGGCTTTACTGCCCAATAAGGAACTATGCAATGCAGGAGCTGTGCTGTGATTGGATAGAACTTTGCTTCCAATATCGGATACAATAAAATCCCACCTAAGAATAAACATCGTAATATAATTGTAGTGACAATTCACCCACAGAGCCGACAGCTTTTATGAAGCCACTCACCCCGCTCGTCGTTTTGCACCTGTGCCTCCAAATCTTCGGGCGACATGTAGAAGTCTGGATCTTCCCCTCCGGGGGCCGAGGTTTACACTTTCCACAGCAACAATTACAGCAACAGCAAAGACAGCAGCAGCAATAACAGCCTGTGATCAGGCCACAGAACATGAAGAGTGCCTGGGGGGAGACACAGACAAGTACCGTGTTAGACGTGTTAGACATCATCCATGCAAGAGACCCAGACCTGCGTGTTTTCAACTAGACCAGCCATGTCTTGCTTCTGTCATTGTCACTATATGGCTACATTACCAATGAAGACACCCGGTCACCTCAGGGTAACAAGGTCTGTGTATAGCCCACTAGAGAACCTCCCTAGCGGTCTGATTATGTCAGTATTTCTGTGCTCAAAGCGGTACATTATTTTGCATGGAAATATCTTCTTTTTTTATTGTAGGCTGTAATTCTTAGGAATAACTCACTGAAATCTTTCCAAACAAAAATCTAGTAACATCCCGGGTAGGATAAAATTTTAAACACGAAATCATAAATTATAATTGAATAAATAATCAAAAAAATTATATAATAATAAATTTAATTCAATAATAAAAATCAAACCAAAAACACTGAAATTTGAAATAGAGCGCCAAGTTCGCACATCACTGAGCTCAGTCGCAGAATCGTTTTCAGACGAATTTCCCCCACGAATCATTATCACTCAATTCTGCAAGTGGTTCTGATTTACTATCGCTGTTCTCTAGCCGCTCTAAAACCGCTTTTGACCTAAAGGGACGCTTTTTGGACGCCATGGACGTTTCTCAGTTTCCAGGCAGAAAGAGCAGTAAAAATGCAGCAGGGCGCCGGACAAAGCACTCGGGACAAAATGTATGTGAAATGGTTTGATACAGGAATGTTATACTATGTGATTTTAGTGTATTTAGTGAATGTCACTTTTTAACATTTTTAAATTTCCCGCCGTTCCGTCCCCCGTAACGTCCCGACATCACAGGGAACGGAACCCGGAAGACGGATGCCGGCATCTGCCGGAGGACATTGCCGGGGACACTGCAGGAGGGACATCGCGGGAGCGCAGGACAAGGTAAGTGAAGAGATCCCGGAGCAGCGCCGCATGGTAATCCCGAGTGTAGCTCAGGGTTACCGCTTGTGGTGCTGAAACTTTACCCCGAGCTACACTCGGGAATACCGCCAGGGGGGTTAAAATCAGACAAAACAAGCTGAAAAATTATTTCTCAAAAACCCTAAGAACCGCAACTTGCCCTTTACCAACATTGATATGGTACATCGCGGGACTCCAGATCCACACCCCCGGCCCACTGAGCCTTCAAATCATGCTCACCCGCTTTTCTAACCCTGCCGCTCACCTTCGCCCACCAGCTGGACAGCACAAAGTATGTGTTGACATTCTCCTCCCCGAATTGTTCGGCCACGTAAAGGCCGAGGGACCCGTACTTGTCGTAGATGTTGCGCTTTGTGCAGTCTGTCAGGATACCATGTGCGTTGTTGATCTCCTTGAACTTCTCAGACGCCTCTGGGTTATCCGGGTTCTTGTCCGGGTGATATTTCAGCGCTAGCTTCCTGCAATGTGAACAGGACAAAGAATTATCAACACGGGACTTCCAGGAGGGGATGCAGATGTTAAAGCAGAGCTCCACCCAAAAGAGGAAGTTCCGCTTTAAGGACTGCTCCCCCGCTCTCCATTAAGGATTGGCACCTTTAGGGGGCGGGTACCCGAATTTGACAGGTACCCGCTGCCACTTACGGTCTGATCGCCTAGGCGATCGGAAACAGAAGGTGTCCACCCTCCCTGTAGTCTTTTGGGACACGTGACAGGTCCATTACAGGACCTTTCGTGAAGCGCAGCGCTACTCGCGCATGCGCAGTGGGCACCCGGCTGTGAAGCCGCAAGCTGTCACAGCCGGGTGCCCACACTGAAGATGCCGGCCTCCTGGAATCCAGGACAGCCGGTGAAACGGGGTGCGGGGGACACACTACGGGACCGAGGGACAGGTAAGTGTTTTTAAAAGTCAACAGCTACAGTTTTTGTATCTGCTAACTTTTATTTATGTATTTTTTTTCAACTGGAGCCCGGCCATACAATATACAAATATCTTATACAATGTTACTTTGGAAAAAACTGGACTGAGCTGATGAAACAAAACGGAACGCCCGTGTGAAAGGGGCCTAAAAGGTACATTAAGATGTAGAAGAGTAAACTTTGCGCCAAATCACCTGTAACATTTTTTTATGTCATCGGATGTGGCATTTTTGTCCAGTCCTAGAACCCGGTACAGCGACTCTCCGGAGGTGGAGAGGGAGCGTTGCCTCTGGTCCGCCATCCTTGCTCACTATAAAAAAAAAGACAGATTCATTAGTAACAGTTCGCAAACCTCTGTAAATATAAAAAAGGTGAAGCATAACGAAGGGATCCAGGTGGACCACTGATTGCCGTGCAGTACGGGCATCCTACAGGCATGGAGTTTGTATGTATGTTTTTCCTGCGTTAGTGTGAGGATCCTCTGTGTGCTGGTTTACTCCCCAAATTCAAAAAGATACAGATCAGTTTGGTTCCTAAAGAGAAGTGACCCCAGTGTATGGAATTGTGGGACTGCAGCAGGAAACCCAATAGCTGTTCTGAGAGAAGAATTGCTGCAGATGGATCTATACGCTGAACAATGTTCGGAAAGAGGACCAGAGCGCAGAACTTTTACAGATCCTATTGACTGCACATGCATGACGATTACTCCTCATTATTATTATTATTATACAGGATTTATATATTATTATTATACAGGATTTATATATTATTATTATTATACAGGATTTATTATTATTATTATTATACAGGATTTAATATTATTATTATACAGGATATATTATTATATACAGGATTATTATACAGGATTTATATATATTATTATTATACAGGATTTATATATTATTATTATTATTATACAGGATTTATATATATTATTATTATTATACAGGATTTATATATTATTATTATTATTATACAGGATTTATATATTATTATTATACAGGATTTTATATATTATTATTATTATACAGGATTTTATATATTATTATTATACAGGATTTATATATTATTATTATTATACAGGATTTATATATTATTATTATACAGGGATTATATATATTATTATTATACAGGATTATATATTATTATTATTATACAGGATTTATATATTATTATTATACAGGATTTATAGATTATTATTATTATACAGGATTTATATATTATTATTATACAGGATTTATATTATTATTATTATACAGGATTTATATATTATTATTATTATTATATATTATTATTATACAGGATTTATATATTATTATTATACAGGATTTATATATTATTATTATTATTATACAGGATTTATAGATTATTATTATTATTATACAGGATTTATGGCGCCAACAGTTTGCTCAGCGCTTTACAATATTACGGGAGACAATACAGCAACAATACAGTTCAATACAAGAGGGTTAGGGGGGCCCTGATCCTGGGAGCTTACAATCTAGGAGATTAACATGCAAACTTTCACACATCGTAGCATCTCTATGCACACACATTAAAACGCATCTAGATCCAAAAACAAAATATATTGCACCGTACCTGTCCTTGGATGTGGTGCATTGGTTTTCTTTATTCAGATTACCCCCCCCCCCCCCCCCCTTTATTTTTAGCTGGTAATCCTGCAAGTAACGCTCTTCCTCTGTTCCCAACAGGAGTGAGCTCAGGCATACCTGGATCCTAGTCCAGACACACCTGAAGGATCCCTCCTATTTAATGCAGGCCATAGACGGGTCGAAAACCGTCCATTTAAAAAAAAAAAAAAAAAAAAAAAATTGTATTGAAGTCAATGGGACACAATTTTGCATTGAAGTCAATAGGGGTGGTTTTGCATTGACATCAATGGGCCGCGATTTTGCATGGAAGTCAATGGGACGCGATTTTGCATGGAAATCAACGGGACACAATGGGGCACAATTTTGCATTGACGTCAATGGGGCACAATTTTGGGGCATTGCATTGACGTCAATAGGGGATGTTTTTGCATTGTAGTCAATGGGACATGATTTTGCATTGAAGTCCATTATCATTGTCAGCGCCTTTTTTTCCCCCCCTACCAGTAAAACGGCGATAACCCTACTTTTGCCCGATCATTTTTGCTGGCGGATATATCGATGCATCACTACTGAAGGATGCTACAAAGTTCGATCCGGCCATCTGAACATTAACGGCCTCAGGGTTAAGTGCCATTTAAAAGTCGAATCCATCCAATCGGATATCACATCTTTGCAAGGTTGCTGGAAGGTTGAATCGCACGCCGACATCTTATGGGGGGACTCCAGTAACAAGATCTCCCCAAGAAAAGTTTGGGTTTCCTCTGACTGTCAGAACCTATGACAGAGCCCAATGGTGGAGTCCCATCCGCCTGGAGATTCCCCATCATGTCATGGAAGAAGCGATCTGCCCTGGTGAGGAGGGGGACGGGAACTACAACTGGCAGGAAATGTCGCTAAGGGGATCCCCCCGATATATGACGATACGGGGGATTCAGGATATACATTTCTACATATTACTCTGCACATGGTGAAGGGATAAGAGATGAGGAACGCAGCAAACGTCACCCATCATGTCCTCAGTGAGGGTTTTAAATCCCCTCCGGCCTAGTCTTCCTAATGATCCGCCCCTCCTCCCAGCCATCTGCTGCTCAGTGTAGTACGACGGATGGCCTGCTGCAAATACTGGGGGCCTCCGGGTCACAAACTGAGCCGAGACGTCATTGACAGCACAACACATTACGGGGTGGAAGCCTTTAAAACATTCAATTTTCTTTTTCAGGGTTCAAGGAGACTCCAGGAACAAAATATCCTCAGCAGTTCTCGGCCTCCCTGATCTGTTGGGACTTTAGGTTCTTGTCTGACTATTTAGTTCTTTGTATACTAGTAATGGCGGCGATCAGCGACTTACAGCCGGACTGCGGAAGGTAGTCTAAGAAAATTGCATGCCAATCTGCTGACTTCCCAGTTCTATACAAGCCGCGCAGTCACATGGAGGAAGTCTCACTCTTCCTACTGAAGGATTTCACATCAAGGGTGCAAAACGGACAACTGCAACGGCACGAGTGAGACTCTAATGGAAAGATCTTATCCCTGGAGCCCCCCAGGAACTATAAGAAACCGATTCAATAGATCCCCCTAGATGGAGATACCAGCTGTGTGTACATCTCAGGCTGCCGGGATAGGACCCCACATGCATTACTCCAAATCCTGCTGTGTACACAGCTGAGTATCTGTACAGCAATGCAAAGTCTACCATACATGACACATCAGGCCTGCAGACAGGAGGACACTGCCATGAGCCTGGCCTTATGGAGGTGATGGAGTTATGAGAGAGGGAGAGAAGAGAGGGGAGAGGAGAGGGGGAGAGAGAAGAGAGAGGGGAGAGGGGGGAGAGGGGGGAGAGAGAAGAGAGGGGGGAGAGAGAAGAGAGGGGGGAGAGGAGGAGAGAGAGAGAGAGGGGAGAGGGGGGAGAGAGAAGAGAGGGGAGAGGGGGGAGAGAGAAGAGAGAGGGGAGAGGGGGGAGAGAGAAGAGAGGGAGAGAGAGAAGAGAGGGGGGGAGAGGGGGAGAGAGGGGAGAGAGGGGGGAGAGAGGGGGGAGAGAGAGGGAGAGGGGAGAGAGAGAGGGAGAGGGGGGAGAGAGGGAGAGGGGGGAGAGAGGGGGGGAGAGAGGGGGGGAGAGAGGGGGGAGAGAGGGGGGGAGAGAGGGGGGAGAGAGGGGGGGGAGAGAGGGAGAGGGGGAGAGAGGGGGAGAGGGGGAGAGAGGGGGGGAGAGAGAGGGAGGGGGGGGGGGAGAGGGAGAGGGGGGAGAGAGGGGGGAGAGAGAGGGAGAGGGGGGAGAGAGGGGGGGAGAGAGAGGGAGAGGGGGGAGAGAGGGGGGGAGAGAGAGGGAGAGGGGGGAGAGAGAGGGAGAGGGGGCAGAGAGGGGGGGAGAGAGAGGGAGAGGGGGGAGAGAGGGGGGGAGAGGGGGGAGAGAGGGGGGAGAGAGGGGGGGAGAGAGGGGGGAGAGAGAGGGAGAGGGGGGAGAGAGGGGGGGAGAGAGGGGGGGAGAGAGAGAGGGAGAGGGGGGAGAGAGGGGGGGGGAGAGAGGGGAGAGGGGGGAGAGAAGAGGGGGGGGAGAGAGAAGAGGGGGGGGGAGAGAAGAGGGGGGGGGAGAGAGAAGAGGGGGGGAAAGAGAAGAGGGGGGGGGAGAGAAGAGGGGGGGAGAGAGAAGAGGGGGGGGGAGAGAAGAGGGGGGGGGAGAGAAGAGGGGGGGGAGAGAGAAGGGGGGGGAGAGAAGAGGGGGGGAGAGAGAGAGAGAGGGGGGAGAGAGAAGAGAGGGGTGGAGAGAGGAGAGAGGGGGAGAGAGGGGAGAGAGAGAGGAGAGAGGGGAGAGAGAGGGGAGAGAAGAGGGGGGGAGAGGGGAGAGAGAGAAGGGGGGGAGAGGGGAGAGAGAGAGGGGGGGGGAGGGGAGAGAGAGAGGGGGGAGAGAGGGGGGAGAGAGAGAGAGGGGGGGGAGAAGAAAGGGGGAGAGAGAGGGAGAGGGGAGAGAGAGGGGAGGGAGAGAGGAGGGGAGGGAGAGAGGAGGAGAGAGAGAGGAGAGGAGGAGAGAGAGAGGAGAGGAGGAGAGAGAGAGGAGAGGAGGGGGGGGAGGAGGAGAGAGGGGGGAGGAGGAGAGAGGGGGGAGAGGGGGGAGGAGGAGAGAGGGGGGAGAGGGGGAGGAGGAGAGAGGGGGGAGAGGGGGGAGGAGGAGAGAGGGGGGAGAGGGGAGAGGGGGGAGAGGGGAGAGGGGGGAGAGAGGAGAAGAAGAGAGAGAGAGAGGAGAGGAGAGAAGAGAAGAGAGAGGAGAGAGGAGAGGAGAGAAGAGAGAGGAGAGAAGAGAGAGAGGAGAGAAGAGAGAGGAGATAGGAAAGGAGAGAGGAGAGAGGAAAGGAGAGAGGAGAGAGGAAAGGAGAGAGGAGAGAGGAAAGGAGAGAGGAGAGAGGAAAGGAGAGAAGAGAGAGGAGAGAGGAAAGGAGAGAAGAGAGAGGAGAGGAGAGAAGAGAGGAGAGAGAGAGAGAGAGGAGAGGAGAGAAGAGAGAGAGGAGAGGAGAGAGAGGAGAGGAGAGAGAGGAGAGAAGAGAGAGGAGAGAAGAGAGGAGGAGAGAGAGAGAGGAGAGGAGAGAGGAGAGGAGAGAAGAGAGGAGAGAAGAGAGGAGAGAAGAGAGAGGAGAGAAGAGAGAGGAAAGAGAGAGGAGAGAAAGAGAGAGGAAAGAGAGAGGAGAGAAGAGAG